TATAACATAAGTTCTAAATTCAAAACAAATTAGTCTTGTGTCAAATTTCAACCTAACATACAAAAATATGATTTAAAAGAAAAGGAAAATCTAAATCTATAATATTACTCAACAATGAATTCTACTTTAATTTTAAAATTAGAATACTATCAAAATTATGCTAATAAAAAAATAAGAATGGAAAAAAAAATAGATAATACGAACAATCGCATGAAATCACATGACGTAAAGGTTGAGAATGAGAATGAGAATGAAATGAAAAATATAAAAAAATTACTAACTTTTAGGAATTTTTAGAATAATAAAATAAATAATTTAAAATAATAGAAATAAAAATTAAAATTAAAAAGTAATCAACTTGTAATTACACCATGTAATTACGAGCAATTCACAGTCCTTCCCTGGGAATTGAAGAGTGTAATTACCCCTCGTCAATTACCAAATTACCTGTTGACCAAGTAATTACATGACCAACCAAATAAGTCAAATAATGTAATTACATTTAATTACACAAAATCCAATTATCATGATGACTTTCCAAACATGCCCTTAATTATCTTTTCTTACCTAGAAAGCACTAAATTTTGAGTAAATTAACACAAAATTATACCATAAAATTTTTTAACTTTCCGATGAAAAATTCCTTAAATTTAAAAGAAATCTATTAAATAAACTTAATTAAAAAATCCAACTCATTTCACCCAAAATTCACATGAAGAAATTAAATTTATTAAGTTGTTTCAAAAAATCAAACATGTTAAAATGATAGAGAAAAGAAAAGAATATAATATCAGCAGTACAATTTTTTCATATGAATTTTGGGTTTCGGGTGGATCGGATCTGAATTTTAATTGAGTTTTATTTATTATATTTTTAAAAAGAGTATAAAAAAAGTTATTCATCAAAAAGTTAAAAAATTTCAATGGTATGATTTTTGTGTTAAAAAGATAGTTAGCGAGTGCAAGTAGTATTTCTAATCCCCAAACACAATATAAGACGTTTGATCATGAAATTTTTCTATTTTTTTTAAGTTCAACTTTCATTATTTCAAATATTATTTTATAAAACATGATCAAATGATGGTTTAACTTAAAATGTGAAAATATTTTAGATTCGATAGATTATCTTCAACTTTGGATTTAGCTATACAGACTGTAATCCAAATCAAGTCCTACTCAAAAACCACAAAAATTGTACTATAGAATTTGTAGGATAAATCATATGTTAGAATTAGATTTATTACGTACTAAATATTCCTTCTAGTACAATTATTCTCTTTTAACCTTTCAATTTTAGGCAAATAATACTATAATAGATTAATTTAAAATATATTAAAGCTCAAAAGAAATTGTTGTTATATTTTTGTCATCTAGTAGAGTACGGTAGTTAAAATTGTTTCTCTATTTGACCATTCCAAAAGCCATGTGCTAATTCATAAATTAGTCCTATTATTTTCACACATATAACTAATACAAAGCTTAATTAAATACTCAACAGGTAAGTCACCTAGCTGTCTCCTTGTAGTACATCAACTACATATATTATTTTGTTAATATTCAATTTGCCGACATGAAGATGAATAAAATAATTTTTAGAAGTCATGCACATAGCAAATACTACAAGAAAGATTCCATAATGAGATGCATAATAATGTGGTGATTAGTTTACCTATTATTTTATGCAAGATATTAGCTATAAAATTTAGTTATTTATGTATAAGCTATTTTACATAAAATATACATGTATTACTTATATATATTCTCTAAATAGTAAACTAAACACAATATTATTATTATTTTTTTAAAAAAAAAACCCTCTCCTAGGAGCTCCCACCCCTTTTGCCTCCTTGGTGACTTGAACTCGCAACCTTCGGGTTGGAAGTGAGGGTTGCTTACCATCTGAGCAACTCCCTCTCATCAACTAAACACAATATTAATTTTATATTTGAATAATATACCTTCTAAGTTTGGTTTCTTATCCAATGTTAAGTACTCATATTGGAGCTCGATAATATATTAATCATTTACCTCCTAAGTTTGGTTTCTCATTCGGTATTTAATATCCACATTGGAGTCCGATTAAATCCGAATTCGCATCAGAAAGTCTATCATTAGGGTAAAACACTCCCTAATAAAGGCGACTCCGTACCCAAAATGGCTCAAATCTAAAACTTCTGATTAAGGGTGAAGGCATACTTACCACTTCACCCTAACTCTTGGTATTTACCTCCTAATTAGCTACCAAATAGGTATTGCTTATACAAAATTTAATATTTATATTAAATCATTTTCAAACCAGCTAACAAACACTCCCTTATTTTAAGAAGAATTAAAACTAATAATAACACCATACTATCTTATAGAAATCTTTCAGCACCAGAAACTATTGTTTAATGTAATTATTTGCAACAAAAAGTGAAACTTCTAGTTTAGTCTAACTAGAAGATGCTGCAAGTGAGCAAGGAAAAAGGCCCAACTTTGGATCATATGGTGGCACATTACTTGTGAATGGGACCTATCAACAAAATTCCCATAAATTAAAAATTTGTGAAAGGGGTTACTCATTAGCTGTCACCATTTTAATATGGTCATGGCCCCATTTACCATCATAATATCATATGATTGCCCCTAAACAAGGGGGAAAATACTAGTGCAAACCATTAAATTCCCTCCAAAGATCAAATTCACGACTACCCATTAAAAGGGGTGTGAGTAAAGTGAAGGAAAAAAATTATTTATAAGGTATTGAATATTCATAATGATATGAAATCTTTTGAAGAAAATCATGGAGGTTTGATTCAAACACTAACACTATCGTTAGGGTATTTGCTTTTCAAAAGACTAATTTGCTACCTTTATTCAATACCTCCAAAGAACACATGCAACAAAAAAAATTAAGTTAATTTGGTGGTTGTAGCTACTTGATTGATGTGGTTGACACATAATTAATCTTTAAATTAACACATCAATGATGATAGATCATGTGGAGCTTTATTCAAAGATAAAAATGATGAAGGTGCGTAAGTAAAATCTTACATGGAAAGTAAAAAACAAAAAAAACTATTTATAAGGTATTGGATACTTATATTAACCCAACACGAACCATATCACATCATATTTTTTTGATAGGTTATAAGGGGGGAATAAGAGTCAACAAGAAGGTTTTAACAAAATTGATGTAATTTCACAAACAATAAATTATCCACAGTCAACCTTAGTAGGCGTTTGGCCATGCGATACCATATCACGATATGGTGTCGTGAGATGGAATCAGCGTTTGGACATGCGATTTTACGCTGATTCCATCTCATAATTCCATATCATGAGAGGTGATATCATATTCTCCAAAAACCATGATATGGAATCACTATGTGATTCCATATCATGATTTGAGATATTTTAATATAAGAATTGATCCATGAGTTTATATTTTGTTAAAACAACCCCACATTTATATCTACTAACAATTTGTTTCATATGTAAATAAAATTTATAATCACATCATTACTTTTTAAAATTTATTATTCTCACCAATATAAAATTTATTATCACTTTAAATTTGGTGAATATAAATGATAAAGTAGAAATTCATTTGGTGAATATAAATGAGAACGAAGGGAGTAATACTTTTTTGATTTTTCATAATAAAAAAAAAACGTCTTAATGTTATGACTATGCATAATATTGATAAAAGACAATTTTCATTGGCGGTGCCACACTTTCTTAATCTTAGTATTTGCAAAATGTTCGTTCACATGACTGAAGAATATCAAGTCCAATTGATTGAGGACTTGAGAAAATTTGATCAATTAGTTATTAATATTTAGTCAAGTGGACTAGTTATAATTTTTTTGATTAAATTTTATTAGAAGTACTTTTTACTCAAACTTGTGGTAACTTTTTAAAATTTCGTTATTCAATAATATTTAACTATTGATTTTTCTTGTAAATAGTTAGAAGTTAGTGATATTTGTTAATTTTTATCTTAGGGCATTTAACTTTTAAGTTAATATTTACTCACTAATGCATGTTTTTTTTTCCTACTTTATAGGTTATTTGTAAGAGTAGTTGAGAGATATGAGCATATCAAGTACAATTTATGTTCAATTTTTTTAATTAAATTAAAGTTAGATGAAACAATTATTTAACTGAAGAACAAATAACTTTGTAATAATTTATTATGCGATTTTATAATTTTTGTTTATTTGATAAGATTGAATAAACAATTGGGCTATTTTAATAGTTTTACAACTTATGAAATTTTTATGTTTATGAGAAAAAATATAACACAAAAATTTCATATCGCATGTCCAAACAAACCTTCAATTTCATCTCATGATTCTATATCATGATATCATATCGAATGGCCAAACGGACCCTTAGTTTGGGTGGGCACTTACCATCTTGTTAAGATAATACACTCATTAACTAGAGATTTTGGATTCGAATTACCTTTGTTAAGAAATGGGGTATCATTAATTAGAGATTTCGAATTCGAATTGTCTTTATTAGAAAATGATTTAACCCTTTCGACGCGAATCCAAATAAATTATAATATTTTTTTTCTTGACTCAATATAACTCCTTAAAAATGTACTCCATCTGTCTCAATTTATATGACACCTTTTATGTTTTGAGAGTCAAACAATTTAAGTTTAACCGGTAATTTGTGCATGAAATCTTTAATTTTTTTGGAATAAAATTTATATATTTGTAAACGACGTAAAAACTATTATGAGTCACAATAATTGATAATTCAAAATGTTTAAAAGATCTATGAAAAATTTACGATCAAAGATAAACTTATTTGATTCTTGAAGTTCAAAAGGTGACATATAAAATGAAACGGAGGGAGTATTCATTGTGAGAAATACAAAGGTAACATGGGATAATAATACAAATTCAGAACCAAAAATCTATATGGTGGCTGTTTTCTTCACCATAAACAGTCATTAATAACAATAAAGTTACCAGAGAGTACATCAAAAACAGAAGTAAAAAGAAAAATGGAGATTTTCTTTGGGGCTATTTGTTGAAGGAAAGTAAAAATAAGATGACCTATTTGAACATAAAGTTTAAAATGTGGACTAAATTCACATTACACTGAAATTAGCTCTAACAACACCCATAAAAAAATCTCTCTCCACATTTTTTCAGACATCACAAACCATATATTTGTGGCATAAGTTGAATTACTAAAATGCCCTTCGATAGAACCCTTGATTTGTCAAATTTCAAGGACAAGACAATTGACCAAAAGGTGCAACATTTGGATCTTACTTTTCCAATTTCTACAGTTTGCCCCAAAAACTAATTAGAAACTGAAAATTAACCCCCAGAAATTTATACCTTTAGCTACCTCTGCCAATCATCTCCTTGTACCTGAGAATGGAATCTAACCTCTGCAACTTCAACTGTTGCTTGAATTTGTTGATGAAATCATCGGCTTTTGCATCGACTTCATTGTCTTCATTGCTTGTTTTAGCATTCTTCTCCCTTGTAGTCGCCGGCCGCCGAGCTTCTACGATGGCTTCTTCTTCAAAATGCGCAAATGGCGATTTCATACTAGCTGATTTCTTCATCTTCGTCGGCAACTTCACCGGAGCTTCACCTGCTGACGGCTTCGTATCTGATCTGCTCCTGCTCACGTGTCGTTCACTTAACTGACTGTACACTTCATCCAAGCTCTTCATCTCGCCTTCCTCTTCTTCATCATCTTCATTTTCCTCTTCGATTTGCTGAAAATCGAAATGGGTCTCCATATTTTTAAGTTTCTGTTCATGGGTGTGCTGGAAAATGAACTGGGTCGATTTCGATTTTTCTGGAAGGGTTTCTTCAAAATGGAAATCCGGTTCCATATTTCCGAATTTTTGCTCATGGGTGTGCTGAAATAGGTACTGGGTCTGTGTATCTGGGAGATTTTCCTGATGGGTTTGCTGGAAATCGTACTGGGTTTGTGCCTTTTGGACATTCTTCTCTTGATTGAAAATATACTGGGTGGTGGTGTCTGGTTCTACGGTAGTATGTTCAGGAGCTGGTTCAAATATGTAATGTGTTGGTGGTTCGAATGGTGGGGTTTCTTGTTGATGGGGATGGGGATGTTCAAAGCTGTAATCCTTAACAGGTTCTTGAGATCTGTAATTGGAGAAATTAATGGATTTGATGCGTTGAAGAAGAGAAGGAGATCTCACAAGTTTAGTGGGCTGTTGTTGTTGAGGCTGATTTTGTGAGTAATCTTCCTGTTGATGTGAGTTGTCTTGTTGTTGTTTTGGATGATTATGTTTTTGGTTAGCTAAGGAAGAAGTAAAAGCAATGGTACCTATCATAACATTGAGAAGAACAAAAAGAACAGTGGGAGTGAACCAGCTATTCATGGATGCCCAGATTGAAGAATAGACAGTAGATACAGAATCATCAAACATGGTGATTTTCTAGAGAGAGAGAAATGGAAGTGAAAGTGGAGAGCAAAGATTGGAGTGTGGTATTGAACAGAGTTTGGAGATAGTAAAAGCAGAGGAGAGAGAGAGAGAGAGAGAGGGGCTAGAAGATGGCAAGTGGTGGGTGGGATCAGGGCATGGGGATGAATGATAGTTGGGTGCGCTATACTTTATTTTCTTTGCATGGGATTTTTTTAACCTCAGTATTTTTCTAATCAAAATCATGTAAGAGTAAAATATTTGATATGATCAGAGGCGTGTCCAGAATTTTGAGATGATGGGTGTACTATTACAAAAAGGTGAATTTAAGATATAAATTTGATTGATTTAACATTTAGGTTCTTATCACTAAAAATAATTAAAATTTTAAAATTATAGGTCCAAAGTTATTTTTACCTATCCAAACCACTTAGAGAAATATAACCCAATTTTAAAAAGGAAAATAAAACAAGATAACTAAAAGATTCAAATTTCTAACCTCACTTAGAGAGGTGCACCCAACATAATCGCACGGTATAATACTTCAAGTGTGAGTTCACATATCTATATTTAAATATTTTTAAAAAATATAACACTACTATATATGATTTCAGGAGGGGAGCACGGGTTCACGTGAACCCGGTGACCCCCTCCTGAATACGCCTCTGGATATGATAACATACTATTATAATTTATAAATATTATTTTCATAAAATTATATAACTTATAGCTTATCCTTGATAAATTTAACTTGCATATATGGATAGTGTTTGACCCTGATCTAGTCAATCAGTTAGATGGCAGCATGGACAAGGTTTTAAAGCATGTTGACCTTGTCACTTGCATAAGCCAAGGAAACAAACATGCAAGACTAAGTTGGCGACGGACCGTTGACAAAGTTCAGATGTACAAAATGGCACCAAAGTCTGATTTCGAAGTAGCAAGTGAGGACCAAAGACTTGAGGGCAAGGCAACTTGGTGAGGACTTGTTAATAATGTTATGTGGGCATGGTATTGATATTCAAAGACTTGCAAATGCAAACGACTGGCAAAGCTAAGGCAACAATGCAAAGGGCATTGATGCCAACGTGAGATAAGGAAATGACATAGTTTTGAACATTGGTCTGGCATCATTGAGTGAGAGCAATGAAAATTTGAAAAGACTAAGTAAGGCAATGGTATGCATGGGTGTAGCTCGGCCAGAAGACAAGCAAAGCCAAATCTGTCCTGCGGTTACAAAGCATATGTCAAGCACATGATTGGTGGTTACAAAAAGTGCAGCCTTATCCTATTTCGGTTGAAGCTTGGTTTTGGCGCCTTGTTTGAATTAATTTGAATATCCTAAGTAGTTGTGGATTGTCAACTACATAGGAGAGGATCAGACTAAAGCCAACAAGTGTTTCCTTCCTTTTACGCCACTTGGATGCATAGAATTATAAATGTGTAGGTTGCCTAATGTGGAATTTCGAATTGGTTGTTCTAAGTATTAGGGAATACTAATTAGAGTGACGAATCTAAGTATAAGGTCTAGGGTGATCTTATAGTGTCAAGGCTGGTACAAATAAGTGTTCTTGTATTCACTTTAATTAATATGAGTTGGAAATTGAGTTTTCCATAAAGCTGATTGTCTTATTCTCTTCTTCTAAATTGCTTGGCTATCTTCTATATTGTTGCCTATTGGTTTATATTGCCTAAAAATGTCCAAGTGTTAGCCTCAAAATGTTGCTACCTATATTTCGAGTTAAAGCCAAAACAATCATAAATTTGTTTAAGTGTTGGAAGGCTAACGTCAACAAGGTTGTTGGCTGTTGAAGTGGGTTAAATCAGTGAACTACTTAGTGTTCAATGAGCAAACCCCTTACAAATAGTGTATACAGAATTTATATGTGATGAGTACAATTTTGCCAGTGACAAAGAAGTCTATATTTTTATAAGTGAACGTTTTATGCTTCTTAGTTAAATTATATGTAATTATTTTTTAACAAAAAGAGGGATGTAATATGAGAACCTCTCCAAAAGATCACCATCTTAATATTTTTCTTAATCAAATGCCACTTCCCAAGCCTACACCCTGGGTGCGACTGGTACTCGAGAACCATTGTTGGCCCCAAGCGAACCCTTGGTCTGGCTTACTACTCAGCGGAAGACTTATATTACAAGGAAATAGTCTCAAAATATGAAATCATGAATTAAACTTAGAATGTCTTAAAAGAAACATTCAACTAGCCAAGATGGCAACTCAAGTCTCAAAACATAAGCCAATAACAAGATAAAGACAAATGAATAACTAACTGTCTATGAAGCCTCTAACAACTGAGATGGACGTCGGGACAAGACCTACGACATCCTAATGAACTAACTAATAAAACAATAAAAGGGATCCTCCGGAAGCAAGGAGGCTCACCAACAACTCTGAAGCTCAACTAGAATCAATGATGCGCTGGATGTTGATCCTAGTTACTTGTATCTGCATCATAACAACGATGCAAGCCAAATGACATCATTACATTGAATGTACGAGCATGCGAGGGGAATTCTAAAACAAGACATAAGCTTGAAAGGAACTGAAAGAACATACCTAAGCTCAACTCAACTCAACTAACTCATTTCAATATAAGGCAATAAGAGGAATGTAATATAAAGAAAAGCTTTTAAAACATGGATAACAAGTTTGTGTATTTAGAAATACAAAAGCAACTCAATCTGTATGCAAAGATACAATATAAACTCTGTTTGTATATAAAGATACAATTAACTCTATGTATATAAGAATACAAAATACTTCTATGGGAGGTTCTCTAACAAAAAACCATCACTTAAGAGCTATGTGATGGTACAACATTTTGCCTCACGTTGTCAGGGTCGTCCTATACCTTGCCAGGGGTCTAGAACCTAATTACTAAGTGGATCCACTAGTTTATGCTAAAAGGACTAAGGAATCATCTAAAAAGTATGACCATTTTTCAACCCATGATGACTACATGGTTTATGGGGCTGGGAGTTGTCTGAACTCTCCCCCATATTGGTGCTCAATACTACTCCCAAAATATAACTAGCTCATATGTTTAAAAACACAACTTTTTCTATGGTTTGAGATAATTACTCAAAAACTAGCCCAAAGGCTCTTTAGGAAATCATTGTTTCCTCTCTTGTTTAATTGTGAAAGCATTTACTCTTTACTGAAAACTAGCTCAAAGGCTGTTTTGGAAATCGATGTTTGCTTTCTTGTTTAAATGTGAAAACATTTACTCTTTGGGAATACATAGTTTCCATATACTCTTTTGAAGAAATGAACTTCACTCTTTACTCTTTTCTCAACTCAAAACTCAAGGCTTAAAACAAGTTTAAAGCATTTGCAAAAGACTTTGAAAAGACTCTAAGAACTCTCTAGATTTGGCTTTTAACTTTTCTTGAATTTGAATTTTATGGATTAAAGGTTGTGATTTGTGATAGAAAAGATCTCGTGATGTTAAGGAGTGTTTTTAGATAGTTAAACATGAGAAACTATCAAGAAATCATTGTTTGGAAGCAAGTCCGCGACGCGGAGATGCATTTTAATATTTGGTCGCGAAATAAATTTTTAGCCAGAAGGGTCCGTGACCTCTCCACGACGTGGAGAAATTTTTTCCAATGCTGAGGGATGCGGACCTGGTACTCAGATTTGCCCGACTTTTTCCTTCTTCATTTTCTAACCCCAATTCGCCTAAATTCGATTATTTTTCTCAATTCCTCTTTAGATTCAGATACCCAGAACATATACACTATAATCTAACTCAAAACAAATCTAACAATCGACATTAAACTCTCAAGAACTCCTCAATCTCATCCCAAATTCAAGAACGAAAGCAATTTAAGAACACAACTCAAGAACATCAAATTCTCAATCTTTTAGGACGAAAATCATATTGAAATAAACATGTTTGGTGCGTGGGTGAATGAACCCAACACTATGTGAACTCACATACCTCGTAGGATTGAATTCTTGGCGAAACCCACAATCAATTCTTCAAGAACTCGACGGTTCCAAGCTTCTTCTCCTCTTTTTTCCTCTTCTCTCAAAACCCTGGCTTATTTTTGTGAAGTGTAAATTGAATCCAATCAATTGAGACCCCAACTTAATTACCAAAAATGAATTTAATTAATTAGGTAGTGAAAAGACCATAATACCTTTCTAAAATCCGGTTTTGACTTTCTTTATGTAGACAGCCCAACTACAAATGGACATATCTCTCTCTCATACGAATTCGAAATTGATCAAACTCGGTGGAGATGGAAAGATAATTCAAAGATATTTCATACGGTATCTTGTATTACACCTAACTTATCCTGAGTTAGGAGTTATGGTCGTTTGAAGTTGACTCAAAACTCATACTTAGCTTAATTTTGTCAAACTTTTCAAATTTGATTATTTCCAAAAACGGTTTCTTTCTAATTCTAAGTCTTTCTAGTAGCGGGGTGTTACAATATCTCCCCCTTGGAAATATTCGTCCTCGAATGAGATTACTCTTAGTAGGCTAAGGGTGTAACATCTAACATTCAACTCAAACACCCAACAAGCAAATCTAACACATTCAGTATATCAATGAAAGAGTACTAAGAAGAGTATTAATACCTTGAACTGGAATTTCTCTGGGCTCAAAGAGATGTGGGTATATCTTTTTCATATCCTCATCAGCTTCCTAAGTAGCTTCCTCAACAAACCGATTTCTTCAAAGAATTTTGACTGATGCTACTTCTTTGGTCTTCAACTTGCAAACTTGACGATCTAGAATCTAAACAGGAATCTCCCCATAAGATAAGCTATCCTTGATACCAATATCTTCAGTAGGTATGATAAGTGAAGGATCACCCATACACTTCTTCAACATAGAAATGTGGAATATCGGATGAACCGCTGCAAGCTCTTGGGGTAGCTCTAACTCATAAGTCACATTGCCAATCCTCTTGGATATTCTGTAAGGACCAATATACCGGGGACTAAGCTTCCCCTTCTTGCCAAATCTCATAACACCCTTCATGGGTGAAACTTTCAAGTAAATCCAATCATCTACTTCAAACTCTAAGTCTCTTCTCCTAACATCTGTGTAGGATTTCTGACGACTCTGCGTTATTTTTAATCTCTCTTGGATAATCTTAACTTTCTCCATAGCTTAATGCACTGAGTCTTATCCCATAAAAAGCTTCATAAGGAG